GCCCTCAAGGAATGACATGGGTTCCTGGGATGGAGAGGATATAAAGGTCCCTGGAACGCAAAACATTTTTATTTAGGAAGGATAATGATTCTTGGTAAATCGGGCTATAAACACACGTTAATGTTGATTCGCTTTGACCTATCATTTACTGTGTAGCAAGTGACATATCGCCTATAACGACAAACAATCATTATTTTGACTTGTAGAGTAAAAAGACTTTCATGCAGTGACATCAGATCAAACAAAAATATAGTTACCAGCTGGTTTAAAAGAACACACCACTGATAATGGTTTTATATATATATATATATATTTGTGTTAGGGGCACATAGCCGTATAAGGAGTAAGGACTAAGTATAAGCAAAGGATAGTATAAAAGAGCAAGTCGGTTGTGATGTGTCGGAACTGACGATGTGGTAGGCCTGTAAATAAAGAGGGCCCACCAAGGAGTAAAGGAAAAGAAAAAGAAAAGAGAGATAGAAAGGAAGAAAAGTGTTGAGCATGTGGAGTGGTGGGAGGGTCATTGAAAACGCTGACCTCGGACGGTATGGAGTATGGTAAGGGGTCTCCCTTAAGTAGGTAAGTAAAATAATAAGCCCTTCACACAACTATTCTTGTTTAGGGCCCCCACCCACCACTCAGGGGTGGGGGTCAGGAGGGAGGACATTAGGTCCCCCCCCCCAATTTTTATTTAGGGCCCCCACCCACCGCTCAGGGGTGGGGGCCGGTGGGGAGGACAATAGGTTCTCCCCCCTTTTTTTACTTTAGGGCCCCCACTTGCCGCTCAGGGGTGGTGACCGGGGGGGGCAATAGGTCCCCCTTTAGTTTAAAAGCCCCCACTTGCACGTCGCGGGTGGGACATCAGGAGGGGGGACCTTTTTTTTTTTTTTTAAAACAGTGAGCAGCCACAGGCACAGGCTGCTCACTCTTTAATAGACATGCCCATATAGCAAGTAGGGGCATAATTTACTAATAATAAGTAATCTTTACTTAGTATTAGTAAATTTGGCTTAAAGACCAATTCAGGTCTTTTAGCCTTTAGTAGATAGCTCCCTAATACCGTGGGAATTAGGGAGTTATCTACTTATTTATTCCTGTCATTAAATTGACAGGCTAAGTAACATACATTTTATATGAATGTATGTTACTTGATTGTTGTAAGTGTTGCAAACGCTTACAGCTGAATCCTGGCTATGTTTATATACTTTTTAATTGAAATTGTACACAATGTAACATTCTTCTTCTTTCACTGGGTAAATATATTAGTACTTAGGCAATACTGTGCTTCGGAACTTTGGCACTTTGACATCTCGGAACTTCGTCAACTTCGGCACTTCAGCAATTTGGCACTTCGGCACTACTACACTTCGGAAATTCGGTAATTTCGGCACTTCAGCAATTCGGCACTTTGGCAATTCAGCTATTCAGACATTTGGAAGCACCTGGATGTCCGATTACCCGAAATTCGGCCGAATTTTAATTTGGACCGAAACGAATTGCACATGTCTAATAATTTTGCCTCTTTATAAATCGCTGGTAAGACCACACCTTGAATATGCTGTGCAATTTGGGGCACCTAAGGCTAAGAAGAATATTATAGCACTAGGAAAAGTGCAAAGACAGGCAACAAAATTAATAAAAGGAATGGAGCACTATAGTTATGAAGAAAGGTTAAAAAATATAAATCTCTTTAGTTTGGAAAATGGGCGCCTGAGAGGGGATATGATAACATTATACATATATATTTAGGGCCAGTACAAACTATTGCCTGGAAATCTATTCATAAACAGGGCTATACATAGGACACAAGGTCATGCATTTAGGCTGGAAGAAAGGAGATTTAGTCTAAGGCAAAGACATTTTTTTTTTAACAGTAAGAACTATAAGGATATGGAATTCTCTGTCTGAAGAAGTAGTTTTATCACTCAGAGTCCATACAGATGTTTAAACTGAAATTGGATAAATACCGTATTTATCGGCGTATAACACGCACCGGCGTATAACACGCACCTCATTTTAAGAAAAATTTCATGAAAAAAAAACTTAAATTTCAAATAAAGACCTTCTTACCCCTTTCTTACTCCCCCCTCCCCCTCTTCTTACCCCCCTTTCTTACTCCCCCCTCCCCCTCTTCTTACTTCCCCCTCCCTCTCTTACCCCCTTATTACTCTCCCTTCTTACCCCCCTTCTTGCTCCCCTCCTCCCCTCTTCTTGCCCCCCTCTTACCCCCCTTCTTACTCCCCTCCTCTTCTTCCCAACCCTTTCTTGCCCCCCTCCCCTCTTCTTACTTCCCCTCTTACCCCCCTTCTTACTCCCCCCTCCTCTTAAGCCAACCTTTCTCACTCCCCCCTCCCCTCTTCTTACTTCCCCCTCTTGCCTTCTTGCTCCCCTCCCCTCTTCTTACCCCTTTCGCCTCACACTCCCTACCTCCCTCCCCCTCTTCTTGCCCCCCCTTTCTTGCCTCTCCTCCCCTCTTCTTACCCCCCCTCCTCTATTTACCCCCTTCTTACTCCCCTCTTCTTACTCCCCCCCCTCTTCTTACCCCCTCCCCTGTAGCGTGGCCGAGCTGCTCTGCTGTCCGCGGTGGCGTGATAGGAAGGTGCACGCTCAGTGTGCACCTTCCTGTCAGTCCGACCGGGTACAGGAAACAGAAACTCCTGTTCCGCGCGGAACAGGAGTTTCTGTTTCCTGTACCCGGTCGGACTGACAGGAAGGTGCACACTGAGCGTGCACCTTCCTATCACTCCGGCCGGCCACCGCGGACAGCAGAGCAGCTCGGCCACGCTACAGGGGAGGTGAGTACCAACAGCAGCCGCCTGACCGCTCTTGACAGAGCGCTCAGGCGGCTGCAGTATTTAAAGGGCCGGCGTGTAACACGCACCCATAATTTGCTCCCTATTTTCAGGGAGAAAAAGTGCGTGTTATACGCCGATAAATACGGTACTTGTAAAAACATAACCTACAGGGATATAATTTCTAATAGATTCTTGATCCAAGGAGACATCCGACTGCCATTTTGGGGTCAAGAAGAATTTTTTTCCTAGTTCGTTGCAAAATTGGAAGCGCTTCAGATTGAGTTTTTTGTCTTTTTTTGGATCAACAGCAAAAACGTATGTGAAAAAGGCTGAACTTGATGGACGCCAGTCTCTTTTCAGCTATGTAACTATGTAACTAAATAATATGCATCCAATAAAACACAAGCCCTCCCGATAGGCATTCCCCAGAGCATGGTCTTTTGAGTGGCGAACAATCACGCTAAAATATTTAGGGGTCATCCTCACCAAATCCCGAACCTCACTCATCTGGGAAAACCAGTCAAAACTACACGCAGCAGTTAATCTTTCATATCCTTACAACTACAAAACAATCCATAGCTAAACACTGGATAATGAGCAGACAAAATGCGAGCAAAGTGGAAAATGTGGAACACTATTACTATTAATTTAGATACATTCCTGCATCTTATTACACAGAAATACTCGTTGTTATGTTCTATTTAGAATGCTAGTGAGAAATATTCAATATTCAAAGCAAGTACAATTAAACAATATCACAAATTGATATCACACTGCTTTACTCTTAAACTATCAAATCATAAAAGTGTAACCTGAACTAATGTGGAAAACTAAAAAGGCATTGGTCATCGGCATCTCAATTAATAAAAAAATTGAATTAAAAAATTATAATGTTGTAGAGGTTTGAGAAAAGTGTAATATAAATGTAAACAAAGATAAAAATAAAACCACAACAACCAGTAAAATGATAATTATTCCTATGGAATGCCTTCATGTAATCAGTAATGAGGAGAAGAATTTATGGTTAGTGAAGGTTAACAACAGCAAAATTTAAGTAAACAACAAGGAAGAGACGATCACCAAAACATTAAATGACTTCATGACAGATGACACGCCAAGACCCATGTTATATACAGATTTCTTTAACCCCACGTTCTAAATTTCCTTACAGATTTTCCATAAATCAGTGGTAGGCAACCTTCGGCACTCCACATGTTGTGGACCACAGTACAGAGAATTGTGGGAGATGAAGTGTTGGAGGTTGTCTACCCCTGCTATAGATAGATCATACTCATGAGCCTATAAATAAGCAGATGTGACAATAGTGCTGGTATGTACATATACACCTAGATTATATCCCAGTGCAGCTCAATGACAAGTTTTTACAAAGCAGGTGGTTTTGGCAGTTTAGCTCAAGAGGGGTGGGGTAAAGGGGTAATGGGGTGGGGGGTTGCAACAATGACTTTATAAAAGTGCCAATTTCTATTAAAATCTGCACCTTTGTAAAATGAAAGTACTTTGGGTTGTGGGATGTTAATTTAAGAAAAAAAAGATTTGTGAGATTTAAATTGTGTTTGGTTTAAAACTGTCTAAAAACAACTACGGATCCGTTAACGATGCCAGGTTGTAATTTAAGCTAGTGTGTTAACTTCTTAAAATACGACTAGAAAATGAAATACAAATCAGAAAACTTGGTAGAACAATAAAGAATCAGAATTATTATTGCTTTGATACACAGTTTATAATATTGATTAGCTTGCCATCTATATCCTGTGTGCAGCAGACCACTAAAAAAAAGTACTTATTTCCATGACTGAAATATTGACTAATCGCATAAAAAGTGATGTCCACGTGTTCAATGCTTCCGTTTTCATACAGATTTCAATCTCTATGGTAACGTGTTAAAGTCCTGTCAACATTCTGACCAGATGGTTACGTAGACACTCTACAGTGATTTTGCATTACAATTGTCCTAATTCATTGGCTCCTTGCTCAATGTGCGCAACAGAGAGCCCTTTAAGATTACAAAGTATCTAAAATTGCAGGTTTTTAAATCAACATGCAGTCAAGACACACATTAATCACAACCCTAACCTACCTATTAAATGCAGCTTCAGGACTTTTGCAAAACATACACATGAAAGTAATTCTAATTTTCTTAAATTTTGCATTATATTATCATTCATTGATAAGGGAAGGTCTTACTTGCTTTCCTCCTGGTGGAACTCATGAAGACGTGGGTTTATCTGTGGCCAAACAGAAGTCCCACTATTTTGCTTTCCTTTTCAGTGAGTTACAAAAGGAGCTAAGACATGTTATCAGGCAGCAAAGTCCAAGCTGTGAAGAGATCCAAGTGAGATTCAAGCTCCCTTGGAAAGGAAGGTTATTGTGTAAAATAAGATTAGTCACTCTTTCAGTAACCATCATTTTAGTTCAAAGGGTCAGTGACGTGCAATGAATAATCCTGCCCAGTGTAAAAGGTGTATCTTAGAGCTTGCAGATTATTTACAGCCAAAATCTCAGATACAATACGTGATCTGAACGAGAATACCTGTCCTGCACTTAATTTACTGGCAATGCATAATACGAACACTTCATAAACATGCGAATAGATTAATTCCACTGCATTGTTAAAAACATATAAAGTATCTTAACCCCTCAAGGACCAAACTTCTGGAATAAAAGGGAATCATGACATGTCACACATGTCATGTGTCCTTAAGGGGTTAAATCAGTTATGTACATATGTTTTTAGTCTACCGTAGACCCATCTCAAGCAATCTACTGCTCCTAAATAACCACAATATCACTCGTACAAGATCATCCTCTCACACACAACTGTCTAGCTATAGACATACATAAATAACAAACACACAAATGCATACTTACATAAGTCAGTCATTTTGTTTTGGAAATATATACACAAACAGCTAAACACACAAATATACCTTCAGTTTGTTGCCCCTTCCGGTTATCTCATGTCCTCCTATTTCATTGCCCCTACCTCCCATCTTTAAACTCTCCATTCTATTACCCTTTGCTCTCACTTCATACCCCTCCATTTCATTGTCCCTCTCTCACAGGTCACACATTTTCATTTAATCCAAGATGAAAAAAGGGTTGCAACGCCTTGTGGATGTCTTCTGATCCAGTACTCAGTGCATATAAAAGATAAAAGGACAGGAGACACAATATAGTGTAATAATGTGTAATTTAATAATAATAGTCCAACAGGCTTTCTCAAAGAAACACTTTGAGAAAGCCTGTGATTTGCCGAAACGCGTCAAAGAAACACTTTGAGAAAGCCTGTGATTTGTTGAAACATGTCAAAGAAACACTTTGAGAAAGCCTGTGATTTGTCGAAACACGTCAAAGGAACACTTTGAGAAAGCCTGTGATTTGTCGAAACGCGTCAAAGAAACACTTTGAGAAAGCCTGTGATTTGGCAAAACGTGTCAAAGAAACACTTTGAGAAAGCCTGTGATTTGGCGAAGCGCATCAGGTGTATTTTTGAGTGTATTTTCATATTTTTTTATGTGATAAAAAGGGTATACTTTTTATTTACTTTGGACCCTCCTAATTGCTTTTAGAATATTTAATTCAAGAGGACTCCAGAAATATCCTTGGTAGAGATTATACCACCTATGCTATCTGGATTGAGCAAAACCATTTTTTGCTCTCCTTTTGAAAGTACCTCTCTCTTTTACTTTAATTTAATACTGTTTTAACAGTGAGCACTATTGGCTGTTTTTATATTTCTTTTATGCCACATCTGCATCGGTGAGCTTCTTCTATCCACGCCAGGACTCCAATACAGTGCATCTGGATCCTGGCACACTTCCTGGAAAGATTGTGCTGCACCCGTATATCCACAGACGGGGATCATACAGCCCAAGCGCTACTAATTGGAACTGATCAGAAGCTCCAAAAGACTAAGTGCATTTCAATATTTTCCTCACCGAATATAAGAATTTATTACCATATATTACGTCTCCTCTCCTTTTATATTTTATATGCAATGAGTGCTATCTGGACCCGAAGGTATCCACAAAGCACTGCGACCCTTTTTTCATCTTGCATCTTACCTACTACCAGAAACAAGAAACTCTGGCTTGGGTTGTCCTAGCTGCCTATTAACATTATCAGAGACCTTCAAAATTTACAGCCCAAGGATATTTTCAATTAACCCTAAATACATAAGTGGTTAACGAGTGAAGGGTTAAATTATAATCACTTAAAAAGGAGATCTATTAAACATGAGGGGCCTGATGATATGGCCTCTGCAATGCAGTGACCATTAAATAAATACTGGAATCGTCATTAGGTTACTGAGTTTTCACTAGATTATTAACTGAGCAATAATTAACTTTTTTTGAGCATTCTCTTCAGATTCATACGGGCGGTGGCAGAAAGAATGATCTGACTGCAGTCTTAGGTTTCCTTTGTTATGTACGTGTACGGTTGACATGGGTTACCGTAGTAAGAATGGCATGTCTATTTTTACTTTTTATACTTTTTTGTACGAAATAAACGTAGTAATGTATAACTTGTTTTGATACATTTTAGACTCATAATTTTGCATTTGATACTTTTACAAATCTCCAAATTCTTTTAAGGAGACTGCCTTCTCTATATATAGATTCAAATTTTAATTTAGTTTTAGTTAAACTTTTAGTTGTTTTTTTTCTCATTTTGAGAAATTGCTAGGTTAATAATGATATATTCATAAATATAATGATAAAGGTATTCAGTTCACAACATGCTGTGTTCACTGATAACTTGCAATATGGAAAATGTATTATCACATGGATATTACAACTCCATGCTCCTCTATGGAAATGAACCCCTAAGGTCATTTGTATTTGTCTCTCGAAATATAGTTTCAATATAAAACCATATACAATCTCGCCAACTTCCTCAAAGCTTTGGGTTAATTAAACTATTAATCACTGTCATATTAGATGACAAATGTTTAAGAGATTCAATATCGATAAAAACCCTATGGTCAAGGAACAAGTAGAATGTTTGCTTTTACTATAACATTGTTTAATCTTTCTGGATTTTAGGCAAAATACCATGGACCATACATCTTAGACACACTAAAAGGGTTTGCCATTATGCATTTCTGGGGATTCTTTGAGATGATGGAATTTAAAAACATGAAGAAAAATCCTGTATACCCTACAATTTTTTAAGATTGATGTACACTGCTGTAATGACTAACCATCAAGTAGTCAGCAAGAAAAGTGTATGCGCTTTCTTGAAATCAGTAGGAAAAATAAAAAATGTGACACATCGTGAAATAAAAAATTTAGCGAGTGAGTGAAAATGTAGGCCTGGGAAGTAAAAATTCAGTGAGTGTGCCATGGATCCTTTAGGCTTGCACTAGGAAGTAACTTTTAAAGCCTTGCAAGTGGTGGTCGGACATGAAATTGTAAACCCTTGACGTATAATTGACTCTGCTCAGTTAATCACCTTCCGTCATGCAAATATATATTTTTATGTGCTTATATAATACATTATAATTGATATCAAATAAACCCATTAAAATTTAGCAAGAAAACAAGAAGGTGTGATTTGTATAAAAAAGGCGCTTTAAATATAATCCTAGACTTGCCCTGATATTTTAATACGTGCACCCATGTGGTACGCTTTAACTGGAAACTGGGGTCAAAACAGAGATAAGTGTATGAGTGAGAACATAATCAAAACAGTGAGATATTTTCATGACAGGCGCACAGTCGGATTTGCCGGCATATGCGCTAACCTTACCCAAACCCCCATTAAAACACGGACACCGGTTATACTGTTGGAAATAATTAGTCCACAGCTTTATTAAATTATTAATAAATAATTAAGGAATAACAAATGGGGTCATTGCCAACAAATCTTAATAATGTTAACCTCCCCCATATACATAACATACCCCTTGCAATGACCCCACAATAATAACAATAGATAACAATATAAATAACATGTTAACACAGAAACTGGCCGCCCAATTTGACCACATTTCCACCAGGTTAAATTGTAGGGGTGTACCGAGACATCGCTACCCACCATATCCATTGTAGGGGTGTACAAAGACACCGCTACCCACCATATCGATTGTAGGGGTGTACCAAGACACCGCTACCAACCATATCCATTGTAGGGGTGTACCAAGACACCGCTACCCACCATATCGATTGTAGGGGTGTACCAAGACACCGCTACCCACCATATCGATTGTAGGGGTGTACCAAGACACCGCTACCCACCATATCCATTGTAGGGGTGTACCAAGACACCGCTACCCACCATATCGATTGTAGGGGTTACCAAGACACCGCTACCCACCATATCGATTGTAGGGGTGTACCAAGACACCGCTACCCACCATATCCATTGTAGGGGTGTACCAAGACACCGCTACCCACCATATCGATTGTAGGGGTGTACCAAGACACCGCTACCCACCATATCGATTGTAGGGGTGTACCAAGACACCGCTACCCACCATATCCATTGTAGGGGTGTACCAAGACACCGCTACCCACCATATGGATTGTAGGGGTGTACAAAGACACCACCACACCCCCAGGTTCGGAGCCACCAACAGGCTCGAACCTACCATCCCAGTGCAACACTGCCCAATTCACACTAAACCTCAGGATGCCCACTTTCTCCTCCATCTACCCTCCGATTTAACCAGGCCATTCCCCGCCGCTGTGAAAAAACAGGAAATCAACTAACCTAACCAAATACAGGGAGGGTGGGAGGGACAACTGACAGGTAAGCTTAGGTTCAGTTAAAATGGCCACTTCATATAATGGCTGGTATAAATACTCCCCTTATGGTTCCGCCCTACCCAGCATGCTGGCTGTCACTAAATTCCTGCTATGCCTACCTCCTGGCTCTGTCAAGGCCTATTCCTCTTAGCTGCGCTGATCCATGGGCTGCATGACTGTTGTGTCATATAATATGTGACTGACAAACGGTAAAAAAACAATAGTGGAAATGATTAAAACACATGTGACTGTGAGCTAACGAAGGGCTAACAAAAGCCCACTCCCAAAGCCTGCAAAAATCATTCCATCTGATGTAAGTTGCCTTATGACATATGACAACTCTTAAATAATCTGATTTATTATGTGGAACATTGGGGACAGGAGATGTCAAAATGTTGTGAAATGCCAAGTCTTATATATTTTACCGATTGATTCATAATGTGTTTAAAAATAAAGAGATGTATATTCAAACGCACTCTAAGTGTTCAGGCTGCAAAAAATCTTAGGATATTGCTTCAGAATTTGATAAGGTCCAGCCAGCTCGCTGTAGCATATCACAATATCACAAAATGCAGAACTCTGTGTATCCTAGTAAGTAAAATAATGTTACCAACTCTGGTACGCATACTCAAAAGATATTTTTGC